TCTTAGGCCACCGCAGCCCTGTCACAGGTAAGCACTGTTCCCAACAGTTCCAAAACCTGTTACTGGTCACCGCAATATATTATCCAAGGCTAACTTTATGTCTTTAATTGATCGTTCATCTACTCGACGCTTCCTAACAAAACACAATAAAAAAGATATTAAGCCCCATAGTCTAAGAAAAAAAGAGAAGATTAAATCCAAAGTGAAGTTCATGTTGTGATCGATGAAATACCATGATGTCCATCACTAACATTGTTGCTTAATGAATCAATCGGTTATTTCGGATAAGAAGCGTGTTAGATTTTCATAATTTTTAGAAAAACGCAAAAAAGTTATTAACACTCGTCGAAAACTTCTTGAGTGGTTTCATTTTATCGTAATCTACAACATTTGTATCTTCGAAAATTCTCAGAAATAAATTGTTTTCTGATTAAATAAATTAATTAAACGATACCAAAAACATATGAATACCCATCTGCTTTCAACTTGAACAGTAAAATAATCGAGAAAAAATAAGATGGCCTACAAAGATTAAGGATATTTTTGGCCTTTTTAACTTAATTTTGTAACGTTTATGGTGGAGTTCACGCCAAAAGGCATACAAATATTTTTGTATGCCACTTTCCCCCTAGATTTCGTGACCAAGTTGTCTTACAATTTAAATGGAAAACAAAGGAGTGTTCATGCGTTTTAAGTATCTCATTGAATTGATAAAGTTCACCGATCTCCAGATTGAAAACTCTCCAATTCCGAGAATTTTCGTTAATATAAAATTTGTCGGTTACGATATAATAAAGCCATTCTCAAAGCTTTGAATACATGTTAATATTTTCATAATAAGAGGACTGAACCGCGGACTATTACTAGTCTGAAGATAAAAATCTGAAAAAAGGAAAGTTAAGTAAACAAACAATTTTTTTTTTTCATTATTTATGTCAGTTTTTAGTGATGTAGGATGTGGTTAGATGTTTTTAAAAATATTTTATACTTGCGTTATTCTTGATATTCAGACTATTTCATTTTATTTTTTAAATTATAAGTTCATTGGTAAAAATTGGTAATAAAAGTAAAGAAAGAAAGAAAACAAATATTTGTCAAAAGAAAACCAAACGGGTTTACCAAACATACGTATCTAGACGAAAACTCTCAAATTTTGAGGAAAATTAATTTATTTTGTTGTTTCATTTAAGATTGTAAATTTAAAAAAAAAACATAGCTTATGGCAAAAACGTGAAAAATTGAAAACAATGTTTGTTAGTCCTATTTGATTACATCTCAATGATGCGGTTGAGAGAGAAGCGCTGGGATCTCTTAGAGTCTTGCCTTAACTTCCACACGTGGGGGAAAGGGGCTTGGAACTCTCTCGGCTGACTGTAAATATTGTAAATAAGCACGAATGTTTTTTTTTCTTATTTATTCTTTTTTTTAATTTGTGTTGTATCATATTTTATTTCATCAGTTTTACTAAGCTTTCTTTTTCTTATATTTGTTGTAATTTCTATTATCTTTGTAATTGTATATATTTTATGAATGAGTTTCTCACATCTCAAATACTCAATACATTTGATTGAGACAAAATGTATTTTTTCTCAATAAAATAAGATTTACATTTTATTTCATTACAGAGATTCATTATTGATCATAATGAATAGATGACCGTAGTTATAATTTGAGAAGTACTATTATACTGTAAAAAAAATATTATTATATAATATATTATATATTTATCGCACCCCCGACTAACTTCTTCTCAAAATGTGTAATAACATGAAAATCCGGTATCTAGTTATATGCGTTCTTTATCACTTTAATTCTATTTCAGATTAAGTTCATGTGTCTTTTTCTTTCTTGTAAATACCCAATTGATTTGGATAAGTGATTCAACAATAAGCATTTCGAATCGAGAAATTGGCTTAGCGACTCGTTGCTCGTTTGTACAACTCCCCAGTACGACTTAAATTGCCAATTTAACAATTTCAACTAACTTTTACCGTTTTAAAACGATAATTGACCCCTTCTAATCGGTTAAGAAAGTTTCGGCCGGTCGCTGTTCTGATTAATGCGTCGAGGCATGGGTATGTTGCCCTCATGGCTGTTGTTCCATTGCCCCAATTCCCAAACCAGCCACAAAAAGGTTATACGTTTCACGTCCCCACCGGGTCAAGCATTTAAATTAATTCAGTTTCCATTGAACAGAACCAGAAGTAAGTATGTTTAATTTAAAAATTATTTTAAAATAATCAGAAGGCTATTCTCATCGGTTCTAGGTACCTTATTATTTGCTTACCTTAGTCTCCTCTACTCTGTCTCAATAACCGCCCCATCCACTTTTTTCCAACAGTCAAAAATCTAGAAGTTATCTTTGATCAGAACCTTTCCTGGAATCCCCATATTTCCCATGTTTCCCAGATAACCCGAAAATCCATAACTGTCCTTAAACAACTCCTAAGATTCCGTGATTCTATTCCTCAAAACACCAGACAGCTCCTTGTAACCTCCCTCGTTCTTCCCCAATTCCACTACGGTTGCTTGGTGTATGGAGGTCTATCTAAAGGACTGGAGGTGAAACTGAAAAGATTTATGAACTGTTTTATATATATATATATATATATATATATATATATATATATATATATATATATATATATATATATTATAAAATCTATGGTTACGGAGATATTTAAGAGATTATATTTACTGCATTTATACGTTAAGCTAAAATTGCTCCAAAGCACGAAATTGATGTTGTTCATAGTAAACGATACGTTTTTTAAGGTTAATTAGTTTTCTTAACATTTTCAATTGTTCAAAGTATTATTCAATGTTTCTTTCTTCAAATGATTATTACTTTTTATTTATTTATTTATTTTAATGAAAATTTATAACTGTATACATGGAAAATACAACAAGTAAATGTGGCATTGGTAACATGACATCATACTCTGTGAATAACAGTATCCAGCTTTAAATTTTTTATTTTACTGTTATAATGAAATTTTTTTGGCAGAACTCAAATTAAAGTTCTATATTAGAAGGTCCTGAGGCCATCTTCTTTTCAGACGCCTCGGAGGGTTATCAGGGATCAAGGAGGAAGCAAGGTTTGAAACGAGAGGGTTCGGATGGTTCTGTAGTTTGTTATGGAAGGATAGGTATCTGGATTGGGCCAAATCGGAAACATATGGAACATTAAGGTCTTTATGGATTATTTTATTTGAGACAAAGTAAGGAGCATTAAGGATTTTACGAAGGATTTTAGATTGTAGGGATTGGATACGAGAGGAATTCGATGGTTTAGTAGAGTCCCATAGCTCAACTCCATAAGTCCAAATAGGTCTTATTATAGTCATGTATTATGAGTCTTTTGTAATAAATTGGAAGCTTAGATCGTTTGTCTAGTAAGGGTTGGAGTAAGCGAAAACGTCGAGCAGTTTCTTGTCGTTTCTGTCTAGTATGAGGATTCCAAGTGAGATGTTTGTCCACGTGGAGTTCTAGGTATCGGATATGTACAACAGTATTTCTTTATTTATTTTTGTATGCGTGTATGGTAAAGATCTAATATTTACTGAAATAAGAAATTTTTAGTCTGCCACCAAATGATAAAACATTATAACACTATTACTAAATTAATCCACAATCACCTACTGTCCGGCTCGCGACATTTTCTTAGATTATATAGTAAAATTTTAAAACTATTTTGGAAATACGAAATTAAGTTAATCACTCAAACAGAGGGGTTCGAAAACATTTATTGCGTGGGTTGTTTATTTTAAAATCTCACTTCACAGCTGAAGGGTCATTTATCACAAGTCATGACCCGCGGGACTTAGTGAAGGCCTCAATGCGGCCCCCAGGGGCCAGAAAGTTTGGGGACCCCTGTAATAGGACATAGTTATCTAAACCTTACAATTCATGTAATATTAACATGTTATTTAATTCTATTGAGTCAATCTCGCTTTGGATAAATATTTATCCAGTTAAATTAAACAAAAGATTGAAATCACCATTGAATTAAATGTTAAATGATAAAATAAAAGTGTAAAATAAGGCTTTTCAGATGGCTTGAAAATGGCGTAAAAAACCGCAACGTTTTCATGATTGTGGAAATAATAAATAATTGGTGAAATGTATACAGCCTAGATTGTTTTAGCAATTAATTTTTGTGTTTCAGGATTGGAAATTGATTCAAAAGAAAAACAAACCGGAGGATATCGATTCCAGCGGAATTCAGGTGAGTAATTAAAAAAGAATATATTGTTGAATTAAAATGTGTATGTTTGTGTAGTGATACTTCGAAATTGCATAATATTTCCTGGTCCAATTTTCCGTTTTAGAGATTATTCATTTCATTTGTTATATATATTCATTCCAGAATAAAATAAAAACATCGTTGTTCACGTAACATAATAATTATTTAAACCTTGTAAATGTGCGGTCAAAATTTCATAATAAAATAAATTTAATATTCTAGCGTTAGAATAAGAAAAAAAATTAGAAAACTGATAAATAGTTTGGTGAAGAGAACTCAGTTAGCTCTATTCATATTGAGCCTATAATTAAGTTTATTTCAAGTTCTAGGATTTAATATTATCTTTTTTAGTTCAATATTAGGCATAAATATTGTTTAAATAATATCTCATATAAATAATATATACAATAGCAACTCGAATTATTGTGGGTGATAAATATTCAGAACGTAGCCATTATAAAGTTTTTATTGGTACCGACGTTCCAACCCTAACATGTGGATCAACATCAGGACTTGTTTCGAGCAGTGAAGGTGAGTATTTGAATACCTTAAGTGATCGAAACACGCCCTGATGATGACCCACATGTTTGGATTGAAGCGTCGGCACCAATAAAAACTTTATAATGACTACGACCTGAATATTTATCACCCATGTTATGTTGAACAGTCGACTAACTTTATTCAATAACTCGAATTATTCTTCTCCCTTCCCATCCCTCTCAGTTTTCCTGGCCGCTGCTCCACAGCATCGTTTCTATGATAGTCTTTTGAAGCCACTGCTGAGTTGACCTGGCCTTGTGAGCTGGAGCGGAATCCTGCTGGAAAACCCAATGACTTCCAACAAACAGAGTAGCATTTAGAGGCTTGACAACAAGTTCCAAAATATCGTCGTGATAGTTTATAGCTACTGTTTTAACTCCTTTTTCAAAAAAATGAAATTTTGTGGTGAAATCAAAGCAAACTCCCCACCAAACTATCACTGAAGGACAGTTATGACCTCTTTCCACTCTTCCGATGACTTCCTGGGCTTCTTTAGAGCTGTGTGTGTACACACGATCATTTTGGCAATTAAATTTTTCTTCAATTATAAACATTTTCTAATCACTTCAAAATCTTTCGATGAAGACCATTGGTGTAACGGCCAAGGAACACTTTGCATCTATCCACTCTATTTTTTTTTTCATGGAAGTGGTTAGCCTTTGTCCTGTCATTCTTCGAAATGCACTCGTCCTAAGGTCACTTTTTATTATGCGAGACATTGATCTGACAGAGATTCTCATTTTCCGAGACATGATTTGTTGTTTTCGAATGGGGATTTCTCCTGATTCTAGCAGCCACTGCTCTCACTGTATTTTCTGTTGACCGGTCGAGGTCTAACACATACAGATATGGTCTTGTCATATCTATTTATTGTGCGGTACACGAACATACTGCTGATACCCAAAATCTCTGACTTACATTTTCTAGCTTTGTGTAAAGCGATCACAGCTATTCGGTTTATTTATCAATCCTCTCCCCCCCCCTACATGTTAACTGGGCGAAAGAAAAGTACAGACTAATTACGATTATTACCCTGACATGTAAAGACAATAACCTGATAGATGTAAAGGTTATCTAAATAATACCCAAGGATGTAAACGTAGTGGCAGAACTAGGTATATTAGCTCTTCTGACACCAGATAAATTAATTATCTTGGAATACTGAAGCGTGCGCTGCAGATCAGACTGTTAATCTGGTTAATTAATAGGCTATTATTTGGTTAATACGACTTATTCCTCATGAATTCATGTGTGAGTAATGAAATCTTAAATATCTTATCACAATATATTATTAGTGGTCATTAAAGCAGAAAGGAATACAAATTAAAAATCAATGGAAAATCAATCTATTTTAAACTTATTTTTGTTCCATAAATTGTAAATATATAAACTAATAAAATATATTTACAATTTAGACTCTTGTACATTTTTTAAGTTATTTTCTCATAATATTCACGAGTAATTTACAATGTTAATGTGCCATCTATAAAAATAAGAAATTTTCGTAAGTAACAGTCAACAATGAATAAAGGGCGTAGACAATCATTCCCAACAATCCATTATTTATTTATTATTTAGTTTTATTTGGGTACCATGTGCAACAGCTAAGGTTAGAGGCCCCTTATTCAATTCCATTACATTTCCAATAAACATATGTCTGCGAAAAGATTACGTTTTTTCTAGTGAGGTTGTGTTGTTAAGATATGTCTATGAACAATCTTCTGTTACAACTGAATAGATTAATTCTTATGAGCATGGTAAATGTGTTTATAAGTGATGGGTTGTTTATAAATGTCTGTAGTAATTGTGTATTTTTCAGAAATAGGAACAGTTTTTTTTAAGTTTTCATATTGTAATGGCTTGTCGATATCCCGGAGACGATACAAGGTCCTTGATTTACCCAAGGTCGGATAATGTACTAAAATATGTTCTTTGGTTAAAACTATAAGGTAGCTGCGACATTTTGGTGGCGAATTCTCGTCGAGGAGATCACCATGAGTAAACCTCGTGTGCTCTATTCTGAGGTGTGTTGCAACAGTTTTCTCCCTGCGATATCCTTTAATCTGTGGGAGTGGACTAGTGTCATCCTAGATTTTCTTCATTTTATTGTTACCTAGAACCTTGGTCCAAGAGTTACTCCAAACTTCTCTACATGGGTTCCATATGGCTTTGTTGTAGTCGGATATGAAGGAGCAGAATCGGCAAGTTCATTACCCGTTATATCCATATTGCTTTGTACCCAGATAAATTGAATATAGAACAATCAATCAATCAATTAAACAAACTTATAAAAATCAATTAATCAAGTAAACAAGCAAGCAATTTGTGAGTGTGTTTTATTGCATAAAAAGATAGGAAGAGTCAAGTGAGTTTTAGGGTAAAATTGAATTATTGCTAAGAATCAAAAGACAAAGTGAAAAAAAAAAACACGTGTTATATATGAAAAAAAAAATATCATAACAATTTTTGTTAGACTTAAAAACTTAATTATTATTTCCAATATTTACAATTATAAACTTTTAATTATAGTCCATTTAATTAGCAAGATAATAAGGAAATGTTGAATTGGTGGTTTATAACTAAACTCTTAAAAATCATTTTATTCTGGTAGGGAAAAGAATTATAAGATTTGAAAATATTGGATATACTTTTAATATAATTAATTGGGAATAAATTACTTTATTCAATCAAAATTATTTCTGAAAAATTTATAATAAAAGTTTTTTTGAATTATTCTCCAAAGTATTGAATAAATTGTATTACCGCTTCCTTTAATTCCTGTTATTTAATTGAAAATATTATTCAATAAATAAAACGTGCTTTTTTTTTTTTGTCCAAACTAAGCATCTGTCGGTCCAAAATTACTTGTTTATTTTTACATTTTTCAATTTACTGAAGTATTTTTTTTTCATTTGAATCATTGGAGACTAGGTACTCAGTTATTAGAGATTTTTTTTTTCTTTCTAGTCTTTCGTCCAGAATTTTTTTTTTGTACGATTTGTGATTCTCAAGTGATTTTGTCCCGGAATAATGTTATATTCAATTCTATTTAACGTTTTAAAGGCTAATTAATTTTAAGACCAAAGATACGTGTTTTACAAATTGAATACCCTTGCCTTTAAGTGAATTTTAATCTCGATTTTCACAAAGGAGAAGTCTTGTGCATTCGACCATCCTTGTTAAAATACTTAAAGGAACCTATTCAATTTGGCAGTTTATTTTGTCTGTTTAAAATATGTAATAAAATATCTTTTTTTCATTTTTATGTCTTAGAAAGGAAAGACAAATATTTCTATTCCATACTTTAAAAAGAATATACATTTAGAAACACTAGCGGATCCATGGAGAACGGGTTTTTGGGCTGGAGAAACTCCATTTGTTAAAATTTGTTTTGTGTATGATCCAAACTAAATACTTAAACAATAATAATATTTTCTATTTTTTAAATTATAATGCATGTATTATATAGAATTTCTACTCAAGAAAAATATAAAAAATTAATCACTTTTTTTTCAATAACCCAAAATACTCTAGAAGAAAAAAAAAACAACTGCTTATGTGAAATTATAAAATGAAGTGCTCCTTGAAGGAGGGGGGAAAAAAGAACACCTAAAGTTAAATTCTGGATCCGCTTACGGTTTCAAACAATGTATTTTATTTTTTAATGATGTAGAGATAGTTGACCGTGATATAATATGAGAAGGAGTTGATCGGGTGGTGTGGTCAAATATATACTAAATTATACAAATAGTATTATTTAATATAATACACTTTGCAGGTCTTCATAATTTGTTCATAACCTATATTATATATATATATATTGATAACCTTTTATATTTTGTATCCTTTGTAGCCCTGACGAAGACCTGCAAAGAGGGCCGAAACGTTGGCAAAAAAATTAAATAATACTATTTCTATAATTTAGTATTTATTTGACCGCACCCCCCGATCAACTGCTTCTCGTATTTTATTTTGTATTTTAAATACTGCACAGTTCTTTTTTAAAATAACCATCCCCTTGTAACAAATAAAATACCATCTCCTTTATGACTGCTCTATTTTCTGGTAAAGTCCATCATGAAATTTATAGAATTAGTTGTGTTAACAAGAAAACTGAGTAGTTTTTTTTCCCCTATCCCGGAACCGCTATACCTGCGTATTGACCAGGAGACCCTGTAGTTAATTACTGACCAGTAACCCTCCCCTAATCTGGGCAACAGTTCAGCGACCGGGGGCCCTTAAAACTGGCTATGGGTTGAATAAATGCCGGTGATTTATTCGGCAAGGTGTCGCTGATAAGAGGCGGTAGCGGTAATCCCTTGCCCAGTTCGGTTTGAGCGCTCATTTCCTGGGGCCCGGTTGGCCCCGGCACAACAGGAACCCTTTGCGCAATCATCACTGATGAATATTGTGTCCTCTCGTAAAACAAACCGACCCCGTTTAACCGCCCTTCCGATAAAGCTATCTGATATTTGTATTTACGAATTTAAATGTTGTTGAAACCTCGAGCAGCCGATTTTTTAAATTTTAATTACAGCTAAGTCCTCATAGTTGAGGAAATTTTTCATTTTAATTTCCAATAAAAAGTTAGATATGTTCAGTAAAATATTGTAATAAACGCCAAAAGTTGGGCGAGAGTCTCTCCTAGAAACCCGAAAAAGCTCATTTTGAAAATATAAGCAGAAGTTTTTTTTTTTCTTTATTCCTTATAAAGGATTAAAATAAAAAAGTTATTGATGTGGTGTGGTAGAGAAATAATTCAGTTTTTTAACGATTGTGTAACATTGAAAATCCTGGGAATATATAAGCCCAGTCAAACTAGCACAACAAAGGGGTCTACCATGCAAAGGGTCGGGTAAATCAAATTCCTTTTTTTTATTGTTAGGTATGTAGTGAATATAAAAAATCCAAGTTTACGCCCTTGAAAGCATTGTGGATTCGCTGCCGTGCTCCTGAAATCATTGAAATTTATAAATTTTTTTTTTGGTTTACGCTAAATACCTCCTTTTAAAAGATAGATAGATAAAAAATATTATTTTTATTCTTAAACAGCTTAAATGTTTGTACATAACATGATTCCCTAAACCCAACAGGAAGCGAACTATCGAGCTTTCAACAAATGAAAATTGTGCTGTCCCTCCTATACAATAGTATAGATTAATAAAATGAATAATAATAATAATAATAAAAGGCTAGCGAACCCGAAGGTTCAATGCCGACACCATCAATCGCTTACTACACACCTCCCTCCACCGTTAGCCATCTAAACCCAGTCCCTACAGATCGGTTTTATTGCAATCTTCCCACCTTCGCTTTGGTCTACCCCTCGGACGTTTACCGTTCGGTACATCAAATGTTAACCTTTTAGGAATTCTCTCGTTACCAAGCCCAATAATTTTACAAGCCCATTTGATTCGCCGCGATGAAATTACCTCAATTATATTATCCGGATAAAGTTCACGTAATTCGGCGTTGTGTAACCGTCTGAACTCTCCGGTTAACTCATCCTTCTTCGGTCCTAATATTTTTCGCAATACTTTAGAAGCAGTTCAAGTATTTTTTTTCGTTTGTACCAAGTTTATAATACAAACTTTAACAATGTATATAATGTCACATTGTTTTACATATATGGTTCATCTAACTTCAAACCTAAAAAGAAAAAAAAAAAACGTCAAATAATCAAAATCGTAGAAATGTACAATAATAATTAATCAGATGTTTTTGTTTTATTGAATATTAATACATTCTGCCACATTAAAGGGCATTAATATTAAGGCTACATGAATCAGTCACACAATATGTACATACAGATAATAACTAAGATTTCGATAATAAGGAAAAAGAAATATAAAAAAATAAAATGAGGGCATTGATATGCCTGTGTACAAGAAAATGAAATAATAGATAAAAGCTAAATGAAATTAAAGTAAATAAAACACATTCACACCTATGTACAATATTTACATTCACCCAGGGGACTCTAAGTCATGCTTTATTCCCCGATGTGGAAGCTATGACAGGACTGCAGGAGATCCCAGTGCTTCTCTCTAAGCCGCTTCACTCTTATTTGTAACCAGTGGAAACTGATGGAGGGCTCTACAGCAACAGACGCTCATGTTTTTAGTGGAGAATCTGACCATTGCCAGAACTCCAAGATATAAACATTTACATAAGGTCGCGGGGCCACTGTTTTAACCTCCGGGGAGGATTGTAGGGATGGCTGGAGCTAGATAGGGATTGTGCTACAGGATTTGGATGATGAGTGAGGTTCTGGTGAAATTTCGAAAATTTGTCTAGGATTAGGTCAAGAACAAATGGGATATGAAAGTCATTATGGAGAATAATCAGCTGTTAGAAGAAAATAACGCTACCACATTTCCACATTCATCTCTTTTTCAATAAAATGTAGCGATTTTACGGAATCATAAAAATACCGCGATATCGTCTTAAGTGAAGTTGCAGTCCCATGTATGGATACTTGACTGTAAACCGCATCATAAGATTTAACAATATGAGACGTTCTTACTAATATTTGATACATACTTCATCATTGTGGATAGTTTAACTAAAACTGTTTTTTCACCAATGATGCCAGGTTAACAGTATTGAAATTATTGCACATTACGTTTGTGTATTTAGGCTTAAAACCTTAGGGTCATCAACACCTGCGAGTCCGTTATATTTGTAAACTATTTATGGGATAAATAAAAGAAAGAATGAATAATCAAATATTAATAATAAATAGATAGAGTAATAAATGAAAAATATTTTTAAAACATATAAAAAATGAAGTATATTAAAATTAATATAAAAAAAGAGAGAACAATAAAATAAATTTTTTTTATATTTAATTTAATTGCCTATGGATTTTAAGAAATTTTATCAGTGTTTTTATGTTTGATTCGTTGTTGCTTAATACTGCTGATACATCCGGTTTTATATATATAATCTATTTAGGCTTTTAAGTGTAATAAGTGCAATCTTGGAAAATATGATTGATTGTGAGAGGGCTATTGCAATGTTGACAATTTGGTGGTGGGTGCTTAGTGAAGAGATGTACATGAGTTAGGTTCGTGTGTCCTATTCTTAAGTTAACCTGGTTACGGCGACCTCCTCTCCACGATTGTACATGACGTTTATTCATTGAAAAACTGACACTTTGAAGTCATCTCTGATTCACCAAAACAAAAAAAAGGTATAGATAAAGGAGTATAATAAATAATATTTCTGGAAAAGAAAGGGGCTGCTAAAATGAAAAAACGAGTGTGTAGATTCCCATGACTTAAAAACAGTGAGAGCTTGAGAAGATGATAAGAGGATCAAACCACAAGTAAGACCTTAACAACTTAACTCGCGAGCACTTCAATTCAATATATCACAACAATAAAATTGTATTCCCTTCATTATATTTAAAAGTTAAAATCAATTAACCAACTAACACCACTGTACCCTGATTCTGTCTTTATTCCGCCCATTCAACATTATCTGTGATGTGGCTGCTATATAGACCTTTTTATATTTAACGTTTTGATACATCATGGGTTATGTTGATGCTAAAATATCGCGTGTTCAGTTGACGTAAAAACTTAGTTTTGCTAATCTGACTGATATAAGAAACATATAATTTGACTTTTGTTGTGACTTTGGTTCATTTGTTTCATAAATGCTACTAGAAGTGGTGATCCCGACGTGATAAAAAAATGGACGAACTAAAGCAAATAATTACTCAGTTAGGAGCGGCCTTTGAAATGTTGAAGATTTCTTCAGGGGATCAGGATAAATGGGTAAGCAATATAGCTATTAAAATGTCTACATTTTGGGGATCAGATGCCGATCCTTGGTTCGGACAAAGCGAATCACAGGCCGAACCTGCAGAAACTTCAAATGAAAATCATATAATTTGATATAATGTCACCTAAGAGATTATTTTCAGCACGAATTAAATTATATATATATATATATATATATATATATATATATATATATATATAATATATATATATATATATATATATATATATATATATGCGTGTGTGTGTGTTTGTGTATTTAATTAGTTATACAGCTTCTCAAGACTACTATGGAAAACAATGAAGGCTTTGTGAGAATAAAAGGGAGGGAAGCCTATCAACAGTTTTACTACCAATGAAGGAGTAAAAGGAGAATATCTTGGAATTCCTCGTCTTTTAACTTCTTCCTTGAGAAAGCAGGGAGCATTCAAGCAACAGGAAAATTCTGAGATGTGTGCAAGTGCTAGGATATGCTGGTCACTTGGACCTCATAAGATGATCAATCATACAGTGAAGAGAGCATTATAAGCTTTCTTATTGAAGTTAAAAAAAAAAAAAAAAGGGGGAAGCTGTCAGAAGAAATAAAAAATATGACTCTAAATCAACAAACAACAAGTACATGGACATAAGCTATACTTTTCAGACAAGAGCTGTTGAGAAAATGTGAATTATTGAAGCAATGAAGAATTCAATGTAAAATGTAGGAACATTAAATAAAAGGCTTTCATTCTGCTTATCCACTGTATATTTATTTAAGGTAAATGTAAAACTTTATTCTTGGATACAAATGAGTTAATATGAATGAAGAATATTTTTATTAAAACTATCTAATCCTTTACATAATGTTTTATGTATTTTATTTTATACCATTTTTGTATTTTTTTTTTCAAGAGGAAATTTAAAACTACAGTTTAATGCTGAAAAATAGGATGTTAGATACAATTCATCACATACAAAGAAAGGAAATATAAAAATAGGTAAATTCTTTTAAAAATGGTTATACCGAAACTTAAAGAAACTGAATTGGGAAGTAATATGAAGGTCATACATAACTTGACTCCGCATATCTACTCAAAAATCAGCAGAATTTAAGACCCTATATAGTACATCAAATTATAGCAGGTCCAAACAAATCATAACTGGAGATTTAGGAGTTTTTCTTTATCGATTCCTTATAAATGAGTAAAATCTAAAAGTTACTGATGAGGTGTGGAAGAGCAATAATTCAGCTTTCCAACGATTGTGTAACGTTGATTTTTTAAAAATTCTGGGAAGATATAAGCCCAGTCATATTAGCACAAAAAAGGGTTCTACCATGCAAAGGGTCGGGTAAATCAAATTCCTTTTTTATATTGTTAGGTATGTAGTGAATATAAAAAATCCAAGTTTACGACCTTGAAAGCATTATAGGTTCGCTGCCGTGCTCCACATATCATTGAAATTTCCATTTTTTTTTTTTTTTTTTTTTTTACGCTAAATATCTTCTTTTAAAAGAGAGATACATAAAAAATATAATATTTATTCTTAAACAGCTTAAAATGTTTGTACATAACATGTTTTCCCAAATCCAACAGGAAGGGAACTATCGAGCTTTCAACAAATGAAA